ATCATCATGGCAGGAAGCATGGTGGCATGCAGGCAGACACGGTGCTGGAGAAGGAGCCAAGAGTTCTACATTTGGATCCACAGGCAGCAGGAAGAGAGAATGAGCCACTGGCCTGACTTGAGCTTCTGAAACCTCAAAGCCCACTCTCCAGTGACACATGTCTTCCAATATGGTCACACCTACTCCAACAAGGCTATACCTCCTAATAGTGCCCCTCCCTGTGGACCTATGGGGGCCATTTTCATTCAAACCACCACACAGCAACATGTGTCCTTGGTCTGGGACCAAGTGTTCTGTAACACTGCTGCTGCTGGGCAGTTCTCCCCACCCAAGACTGTGGTGTGGGGACAGAAGCAGTGCTGTTTGTTGTGTGCTCATGACCTCATCCTTCCATAGTTGCAGTTGGCCCTGGCAGGTGAATCTAGCACCCCATCCCATGTGTTCTAAGGGTGCCCAGTGGCCCAGACAAAAGGCAAGGCCTGGTTCCTCAGCCTTCTCCCTGAAAAATTCCAGGTTCACTCCTGCAGTTCTTTTCCTTCTCTGTGTGTATGGTGTGTGTGTGTGTGTGTGTGTGTGTGTGTGTGTGTGTGTGTGTGTGTGTGTGCGTGCGTGCGTGCGTGCGTGCGTGTGTGTGTGTGTGTGTGTGTGTGTGTGTGTGTGCATGTGCATGTGAGAATGCAGGCACCTGTGCTCTGAGGCACACTGTGGAGGGCAGAGGACAACCTGTGTCAGTCCTTGCTTCCCATTTTGTTTGAGTCAGGGTCTTTTTTTATTGTTCACTGCTGCTTCTGCCAGGCTACCTGGCCCAGGAATTTGACGAACCAGCCCACCTCCATCTTAGGGTTGAAAGCCATCTTACAGTAAAGACAAACTAGGTTCATTCCTGTTTATGATTCAACCTCTGTTTCTCAAGGATTCAGCTATGACCTTCCTGTAACCTTAACTACATATGGTTCTGCACTGCCTGCTCCAGTACTGGCAACCACATCTCTGTTTCAAAAAGTTGTTATGACCACCTTGCAACTACATCATTGTTTCAGGAGGTCTTTATGACTAACTTGTTATGCTTATGTTCTGCTCCTGTGACCCCACCTATTCGCCTGCCAAACCCATTTGGAAGCCCCCTACCCATGAGCTATAAAAGCCTTATCTTCTCCACATCCAATGCTGACCTCTTGAACACCTTAGGGGGAGGCGGCCCATGTACACAATTAAAAATGATTGCTTTAATTAATTTGGCCATGATGATTTTCGTCAGTGGTCTTTCTCCTTGCATCTTTGGGAGTAACAGCTTCTGGGGTTCTTCTATCTGTCTCCCATCTCATTGTCAGAGGTCTTGGATTCCAGAGGCACTACAACACACAGCTTTACATGGGCCCTGAATCCAAACTCAGGTTCTCCTGCTTGATTGGCAAGCACATTACCCACTGATCATCTCATTCCCACTCTCCCTTTTAAGAGCATCTCTATTCTCTCAAGGAAGTCAGGCAGCTCCAGGCCACCCTGCAATAACAGCCCCTTGGGTGCCACATGCCAAGAGGAAGAAAGCCCGTCAGTTACACCTGCAAGTGGGGCTTAGGATCTGCTTCCCTTCTCTAATGCCACGGCCTGCCTCTGGCTGCAGGGGAGAGACCTGCTTAGAGTGAGGCACAGGACATGGCCTTGGCCATTCTAGGTGTTCACAGCAGATGGTTAAGTTGGCCTCACACCAGGCCGGCCAGCTTGGGGGTCCCCAAAGTCCAACCTCTCACACTCTATTTCTACTAGCTGTTTTGTAAGACCAGCCAAAACTTCCTATGACGCAAATTATCAGCCACTTTGCATTCTGAGTAAACACACTAGGAGAGCTGAGTCACTGTCCATAGTCATAGTGCAAAGGTCACCTAGCTGAATGCAAATTTCTCCTTAAAGCGTCCTGGCCTGCCTTGCAGAGCACGAAGTGCTTGCAGATCTAGGTAGGTGCCATAGAAAGTGACAGCTACAACTGCTCTTGAGCTTCTGCCGTAGGCCAGCAATTCCTGTACAGTATAGCACGGTTACGCATTCACGGTTGCATGCATTCATTGTCTTGCTGACCTCTAGACACAACACACAGAGATGGACTGTATTATCATCCTAGTTCGTAGAGGAGGAAACTGAGGCCCCGGGAGACTATGTCTACTCAGAGGTGCTGTCTACTGGCAGATCCTCTGAAGACAGGATGGGAGGTGGGACTCAGGCAGTAGGTGAAGTTAGGGCCCAGATCAGAAACTAAATGCTTACAACAGTGCCAAAGGTATCTAGGGTGACTCGTCTATATGACATCTGAGACCCTGATTAAGAGTTCTGGCTGTTTCTAAAACACTATCTACCTTTCTTCTAGCCTTCAAGTGGGCCATTTGAGAGAAGCTTACTAGGCTGCTGTCCCAAGACTCGAATGCTGGACATCTTGGAGAAATGTTCTCAGCAGAGCTCTAGGCACGGAGCCAGGATTCCCTGATTTCTGTGTATATTAGAGGCCTGCCAAAGCTGGGCATGCTGGGGTCATAAGCCATGACAGGACACTGTGTGTGCTCTTGGCAGCTCATTTGCTACCATGACTGCTGGATTTAGGGTGTAGTGTGTGTGGTGTATGTGTACCATGTACGAAACCAACTCTGCTTCCCTCTCTTTTCCAATACCCCAAGGAATACCAGGAAAACACTTCACAGGACGAGGGCACTTATTCCAGGGCCTCTTCAGAGCCAGTCCTCTTTTCCTAGACTATTCCTGCCCATCTCCACTTCCTCTACCCCTCAAGGTACATGCTCCTGGCTAACCTTCTGGAATGTTCCTTATGGCCACCTCGGTCAGGGAGGGCCTCCCTTCTTTCAGTGAGTGCCTCACATTTCTTTGAAGCTTTCTCTTGTTTTTCTGATTATGCCTTTTTTTTGTGGGGGGGAGTGGGGTGCATCGAATTTAAAACTCAGCCCAGCATATCTATTTAAAGTGCATGGGAAGCAGCCTTTGAGCAAATTGAAGAAGTTCAAAGTCTGTAACTCATGCCTCCTGACCTGAAGGCCACACAGATGCTTAGGGACATCAGAGGTCTGAAGTCCATACGGCAAGAGGAAAGTCTCTTGAAAGGGCACGTAGGAGCAGAAGTTTACAGGGGCCCAGAGTTAGTTCCCAGACACTGTCTCCTTTGCTGCCTTGACTACATAGCAACTGCAGCTCCACTGAGGGGCACAGACCAGGCATTCCGTACGTATGCATGCACGTGTGGCCACGTATGGCTATGTTTGCTTGGAAAGGGTATAAGGAGCACTGGGGTCTGAGCAGGAAAGATGGGTGAAGCATGGAGGAAGGGCTCCAGCCTCTCCACTTTCATCTACTCAGGGTCATTTCCGGCTGCCAGTCTCTTACCCAACACAGCAGCCAAGCCGGAGCCACTGCCCCTGGAAACTGTGGGTATCTCACACCCGGTGCAAGGTCAGCCACTCTGGGTCCTTTTCCCTTCCTGACCTTCTCACAGACATGATCCCTCCCAGTGGAGTGTAAAGCAGACCTCTCCTCCCCTCTATCTCCAGCTAGCCTCGTTGCTCCAATTCCCTTTAAAGCTAGTCTCCCAGGGAAGTATTTATGTCAGGCCTCTGCTCAAAACTTCCTAGTGACTTGAGACAAAAAGCGAAGTGGATGCTCCCTTACTCCTGGCTTCCTTGAACATTTTTTGGGTTCTTCTGCCTCAGGACCTTTGCACTGGTTGCTCACTCTAACACCCTTCCCCCATCCATTGCCTGGCTCAGGCCCTCACTTCTTTTAGCTCGGATCAAGTGTTGCCTCAGCAGAGATGCTCTCCAATCCTCCCATACCACAGGCTTGCACCTCTCTGCTTTATTCTTGTCCACGGCTCAGCTCAGCTCACCCCAACACATCTAATTAGTCATTCCTCCTTTGCCTGGGAGATAGGGAGAGGGAGGGGTTGGGGTTGGCTCTCACCCCCTTGGTTACACTACAGGAGACAGAGATGGCCTGGCCTCATCCAGCTGTCCTATCTGTAGAGCACTGTGCTTTGACAGATGTTAAGCAGCTGTGGCTCCAGGGTCCCCATCTTGTTGCAGGTGCTTTAGTAATCCTGTTGCAGGGGGTTGCACCCATCACACAGGGAGGGTTTGGAGGAAGCAGTGCATGTGATACCATGCAAACTCTTCCCAGTAGTGCCAATGGTTCCCTTACCCTCTTGCACTGCTGAGCAAACATGGCTGCCCTGGTATGTGCCCAGGAGTGGGATGCCTGGCATTGAATGACAGGGGATGTAGGCTGTGCTCCACCCCCAGAAACCTGTGCATCTTCTTGGCCTAGAGCTAGCAGCTACCAGGCTGCCTTGCAGCGTCTGCTCGTTTCTTCTGTTGTCAAGGCTCACACCTTGCCGTCCTAGCATTGTTTGCGCTGACAAGCCAGCACTGATTCAGTGCTCAGGCAACGGACTCCCTCTGACCCCTCACCTACTGCTGACTAGTTTGTGTCCTTACTAGACATGGGGCCTCCGAACCCCAGCCCTCTGGGCACCAGCATACATGTGTGCTGGCAGGACCAAGCTGATGGCCAGCTGGTGCCACCCTCCCGCTATGTGCACTCAGTAGAGCAGGTCTTCCATGAGTCCCAGACCCTGGGCAGGAAAAGGAGGGACTCAGGCCACAAGAGCCCAATTCTTCTGGGTCACAGGGTCCGCTCAGTGTAGCTACTTCAACTCCCGCACAGAGAGGGCTTCTCCTCTGATACAGGATCCGCTCCAAACCTCTCAGCCAGCCTGCACTGGAGCTCAGCAGCTCGTGCTTAATGGGGAAAGAAATGCAGGGGAGCTCGTGCCTGCCTCTCCAGACAAGGAGAGGGAGCTGGAGGAGGAGGAAGCCTCCTCTAGATAGCTGTGCCTCCCTCTAGCCAAGGGGAGGGCCTCCCATGCTCACAAGAATGCAGGAGCAGGCCCTGGTGACAGCTGGGGAAAATTATTCACACTGTCAGGAGAGAGGCTTATACCATGATTCTGTTCCAATTCTTTATTTTTAAATCCCCCAGCTGGCTAGTGGCTTAGAAGGAAAGATGTGACAATCATTTGCATCTTGTTCCAGATGGGCTGTCACTCAGGGTCCAGAAAGCCTAATCGGGCTGGGCTTGTGGTCACGAAGAATGTGTGGTCCATCAGCAACTCCCCCAAGCTTTGCTGGACTGATTTATGACAGCTCACTGGAAGCTGAGGGCTATGTGGTGGTGGTGGGAGGCTGTCCCTGGATACCAGTGGCGATCTAACAACCGTGGCTTGGCAGCTGTACTTCCAAGGAGAACATACAAACAATTGTCCTGTTTCCAGCCAGGGGCAACGTTCCTGTGTGCTCTCTTCACTCTCCACACAACTTCCACAGCCAGTTTTCCAGCTCAGACACGGGGTGGGGGGTGGGTCCTTCTTTTCTGGACAAAGAACAAAAACTAGACTCCTGGCTGAAATCATGTTTGTTTAGGATGGCTGGCCTCAACCCAATTCATTATCTCTACACTGTGAGGTTGAGTCCACCTCAACTGTAGAGGCAGACGACCAGCTAATGGCCTCTTCCACCAGCAGATACTGCATTCCTGCCCAAGGCCTTGTACTGGCAGCTTGTGGTTGTTTACAGTCCATGCTGATGACAGGTGGCAGTCCCTACATTCAGTTTCCTGAAGGGCAGAGGGGGCCCATCTGGCCTTGGTGGCAGTACCCTGCATCAGGGGCATCTGGGAGCCTGGGAGCAATCTGGAGATTTGGTTCTGGTGATATGTGACTTAGTCAATCTTCTTTATGGAATATCTTTCGCATTTACTGAGCTAGGGTGTGATTCTGTTATTTGCAAGTAAGAACTGAGACATTTGGCCAAAAGTGACACTACGGCCATGAGAGCCAAGAGTCAATTACTGACTGGTATTTCTCCTTGGCAAGTCCATCCTGAATGTGTAGCTGGGCTGATCCTTCTGAATAGGAGATGTGGGTGGCTCTGGGCTCAGCAGGTAAGAGCGATTGCTATGCAAGAAGAACCTGAGTTTAAACCCCCAAACTCATATAAACAGGTCAGGTGCAGCCACACATGTGCTTCTAGCTTCAGCATCATGTGTGTGTTGGATGCATGCACACACAAGTGGGGCGTGTGGGAGAGTAGAGACTGGAGGCTTGCTAGCTTTCAGCTTGTCTCCAGATCCAATGAGACCCTGATTCAAGAGGATGATGTGGAGAGCGACAGAGGATACACAATGTCTTCCTCTAGCCTCTAATTGTGCACAATTGCACACATCGACACCATACATCTCACACACACACACACACACACACACACACACACACACACACACACACACACAAAAGAACTATGGAAGCAGTTATCCCTTGTGCCCAATGAAGATGCAGCATGGTCAACCTGAAGCCCTGTCCTTTGCAAAGCTTGTCACCTCACCTCCACTAGCTGGAAGCGGAAGGCTTCGGCAGCCACCGGATTTAGAACTGAGATGTGAATGTCAACAGATCAGCATGAAGAACTCTTGGATAAGCAGCCTGGTCAATGTCCCTTCCTCTGAGGGTTTCAGAAATGAGTGGGCTGCTCGTTATCTGCCACTGTGCATGGCCAAGTCTCTATGTGCTTAGTTAGCGATGCCTGGCCATGGAAGGCATGCTGCACATGCCTTCAGATTCATTTGTTCATTTCTCAGAACAGTTATGTACTGCAGTAAGGCAAGGGGAAAGTCACACACGATCAGAGTTCACTGTTTCTACTGAGTCCAGTCTCTCTAAGAAGGCATTATAGTCCCTTAAAAATACACACGCATATCTTCTCTTGAAAGATAGTTTTCTGATGGAATTTTCCCCTACCATCAATCAGGCACACAGTCCAAGATTGGAAGCTAATCTTAGTAACTGCTCTTCTCACTCCTCTGAGAATTCTCTCAGTAACTCAAGGTTATGGCTTTTCCTAATTGGCTTTCTGATGGAGAGAGACAAGGGGGACTGGGCTCTGTGAGGGCAAAGTGCTGCTTTTTTCTTCACAAGCAGAACTATCAATGGCCATGTCTGGAGAACAGAAGGCATCCTGGGAACATGATGTGCTTCCATCCTGCAAAGTACAGAGCTGCACGTGGCAGATGGCAGGGACTTCAAAAGCTGGAGTCACCTTGAAAGAGAATGGCACACAGGGAGAGATGAGAGACTGTTGTCCCCTTTGACAACAAGGAAGCAGAGAAGTCAAAGGTGACTTGTTGGACTTGTGCACAAGGCAACAGGATGGAGAGATGACTCCACTGTAGTTTATGGAAAGAGGCCAAGGCTCCTGTCATCTTGTCCAGAAACCAATGGCATCAATCAACTGGCCAAGTGTTTCTTTGCCTCTTGACTGGTGGGCTCTCCATTTTGTTCTACAAGAAATATTTGCATTCTTCCTATCTGGGCAGCTGACGCCTGCCAACCACACTTCCCTACGGCTGAGAAGGAGGGTAGACTAACCTGGACATGACATAGCGTTCCTTCGCTTCAGATGGCTTGGTGTTGTCCTAGGGAATATCTGGTCACCTAACTGCCAAAGGAAGCTTCTGTACCAGTCAGGAGGTCTCCTACTCTTTTTGGCACATGGGTAAACAAAGGCACACAAAGGTCAACTCCCTCACCCAAGATCAAGTCCTGGTGTCAGTGCCAGGATAGCAGAGCTTACCTTTGGCAAAACCGGGACAAGCAGACCAGAGGGCAGCCTGCCGCCTTTCAACTGGATCTGCTAAATATGAAATTAACTCCTGAATTCACTGATGTGTCCTCTAGGACCACATTCTAGTCCCCTGCAAAGGTTAAAAACTGGCTTTTCAGCTTTGGGAGGGAAGACAGGAAAGAGGCTCCTTGCCATGCCTCTGGGAGTTGGGGAACAGCCGGCCAAGACGGAGGCCACAGGGGCTATGAAGGCTATGGGGCCTTCTCCCCACCAGCGCCTCCAGGCAAGGATGATGTCAGGATGGGACTGTCATCGTCCTCTCAAACATCTGTCCCTCGTGGGCATGGCCTCGGCCGCTCACTAAAGGGATCGTCTCGGAAGCCTGCTCTCCTCCTTTGAAGCTGGCAGCTTGCTGCCTGTGGAAATGCAGTCCTATTTCAGGACTTCATTGGAGAGAGATTTCAAAGAGTGGCTGGGAGGCTACAGTGAATTGCTTATTGTGGCTCATCTTGAGCCCAACCCAGCAGCTGCCACTTCTCACGTCACAGCCACAGCATTGGCAGGCTAAGAGTGCTCGGAATTAGCACTGGGCCCAGTCTGAGGGGCTCTGCTTCTAGAACTTCTCCCATGCCTTTCAAGCCTTGTTCTTTTCTCACTGTATGTTTGAAATTACCTACCAGGGAACCTGTCAGTTGACCACATGACTCTGACCCTGGTTTATGTTGAAGATGGTTTATGTTGAAGATGTCTTAAAGATCCAAGAGGGCAGGAGAGATGGCTCAGCAGGTACTTGCTGCTCTTCTAAACGACCCGAGTTTGGGGCCCAGTACCCATATCAGGGTGGTTCACAAATGCCAGTAGCTCCAGCTCTTGGGGATCTGATGCTCTCTTCTGGCCTCTGCAGGGACTCCCACACAGGTGGCACACACTCACACAGACACACACAGGTAAATACATTTTTTAGAAATGCCTAGAAGTGGTAAGGAATAGCAGGGCACCCTGCCACCTTCTGTTTTGAGAATGAAGTGAAGTCAGCCCCGAATCTCCACCCTGAGGGATACTGTTCACCTCTGAACACCAAGACCCTTCTCCACACAGACTTTGAGAAGATGATAAAGCAGCCTTGTTTCCACTTCAGAGGTGAAGAGTCACTGTAAATTGGAACCTCTCACAACTAGATGGGAATGTAGCACTTGGCCACTAGGTGACTTTGTCCTTCAGCCCTGATTATTCACAGAAAATACTCTTTCAGTTATTTATCCCTGTCCCAACATGGGCAAGGCAAGGCTTAAAAAGAACCTCCATTCACCAGGACAATGACGAAAGATTCGCCAGACTTTGCCAGCCAGGACTCAGCCTTCTCTGCCATAGTGTACCAACCATACCCATCTAAGAGTGCTTCTGTAGAAATGGTTTGGGTTCCCAGGCTGTTTTTAAGGGAGCATTGTTTCTGCAGGAACACACCACGAATTTCCATGGCAAATGCTGACTCATGCTTTGAGCATGCATGGTGGTGATCTCAGGGGGAGCAGGGACATAGGCCATTCTTTCCACAGGACCCCCTCCTAAAACAGTCTGGCTATCAGAAGAATCAGAGCCTCACCTTCCTTTTGTTGTTGTTTTGTTCTGGATTCTGGAAGATAAGGAATTTTTTCTAGGGTGAGAGGAGACTCCTGTAATTTGTGGACAGTCAGGACAAGATCCTCTGAAGACTACGAGCCAATATTAACTAGGGCCAATTTAGTTCATTTGGGCAATGAAGAATTATATGACCTCAATAGAGTGGGGGGTTAGGAACGATTTCCAGAGAGACCGAATTATTCTGTTGGGTAAACAGTTTGGTTCTCAGACAGCCTGCATTCTGTTGGGCTGTGCCCCTGTCAAGGTCTGCTTGTCTAGCTATTGTCGCTGGAAGGATCTTTCCACCTTCAACATGTGTCACCAGCTCATCGAACCTATTTCTGTAACTCTCGGTGAGAGCCAATTTAAGCTGGCTTCTCCGTTCACTCTGCACTCAGAAGAGACCAATTTCCAGTTCCTTTTCGGAGTCCATGAGCCCAGCTGCTGTGAGAAACGTTCCAGTGAAATGAACCTAGAAAATGATCCCAGGCTGCTTCTCAGGGGAGCGGGGATTCATCAGCTTTATCTGTGGCTTAAACACACATTGCTTCCGGCTTGAGTACTGTCATCTCCTCCCCGGGAAGCTTTCTGGTGGGGATCAGAGCAGGGGACCCAGGGGGAAGGCAGAAGAAACTTCCCAATGAGGCTATGGGACCGAGTGCAGATTCAGAGGGCGGTCGTGTTTACGGGTAAGGCCCTATTGCATCTGGCAGCCTGAACTGGGCAGCAGTTCCTGCAAATGAGAAGCCACTGCTTTCGTTAGGTAGGTCATTGTACCATAAGCCCCACTAGGAGCACTGTCATAAAACAGGTGACAAATTCCTGTGGCTTGGTCTTTTTCCAGGATGTCTGTGGCTCCAAACGATACCTGCAGCCAGAAAAAGCAGGGAAAAAAATGAGTGGAATCTGTCTTTTTCCTTCATAAACCTCTCTGCATGTCGGAGATGATCTGCTAGACTACAGACGGGTGGGGCTGGGAGCTGGAGGGCAGGCCTCAGGGCAGGAAGCCAGTGCCACGAGGCAGGTATCTCATGTTGGCAATGGGACAGAACGCATGGTAATGGCTGCCTCTGCTGTGGATGCTGTGTTCTCAGGGTCCTCCTTTGGGTGTTGCTCGGCACTGCTTCTTCCAGAGGACAGCTTCTTTGTCTGACTCAATTTTGTATACAGGGCAAACAGTTTACCAAGAGGCAGCTATGTAGCAAGTGGTAGTGTCTGGAATAAAACCTACACCGACACAGACCAGCTTCCCCAAAGGTTGTTAGATTTCCCAAGTGGCCACTGTGCCATTTCCTAACCAAATGGTTGACATTTGTTCACCATCTGGGATGACATTTTCCTGGTTTGAGTACATGCCTTCCAATTGGACCCCATCTCCAGCACCAACAGGGATAAATGGCAACCAAACTGACTCCCCTGCTTTGGCAGAGGGGTGAGTGGGCGGCCTAGTCATACCCACCTGGTCCTGAAGAAACAGCTGATTGGCCAGCTGCACAATCTGGTCCACATGGATGATGCCCCCGATATTGTCCATCTCCGTATCTGAGAGCAGTGTCAGTACCATGATGGCTTCCACCAGCAGCTGCCGATACTCGGGCTGGGACACACGGTTGAGTACTGACTCCACGTGGTCAGCAAACTTGATCTCACACGGGGTCATCTGCCAGAGGGATCAGGTTTCCAGCGTGAGATATGGGACAGACAGAGCCCTATAATCAATACTGCCCCTAGCCCTGTTGGGGCTCAGCTCAAAAGCTACCTTCCTTCTAGACACTGCCTTGACTCTGGAGCAGGAGCCCTCTGGGGCAGAGGCTGCCTGCTTTTCCCCCAAGAGCCAGCTGGCATTGTTCTAGTTCCTTTTGTCTACCCACTGGACTGACTTCTAGGGAGCAGGGACCATTTCCTATAGAAAGAATCTCCTAAAAAGAAGAGAAATTCTCTGTGGCATAAAGCTTGGTACCTTGGTCAGGGTAAAAAAAAAAAACCCAAACCAAACCGAATCTATTTCTAAAGGAACAGTTGGAGGTGCCAGGTGTGGTACCTCCTGCTTGGAAGGCTAAAGCTACCCCACAATGCATGGAGGGCAAACACAGCACAGGGCAGAATGCGCTGTGAAGCGGCCCCTGCGTGGGTCTAGTGTGTGGGGGATGGAGTCTGCATGGAGTTTGAAGGGCCCCGATAGTCTATAAATGGTATTTCTGAGGGGAATGAGCGAGAAAAGGGAATAAGAAAGGAATAAGAAAGGGAAGGAGCTTCACACACTTTGAGGGTGAGGTGGTTAGGGTGACCTGGAGATGGCCTGTCTACACAGACCAAACTTGGGGGGCACAGGACAATCAGCCATGTCACCCTACCTCTTGAGTTGTTGAAGACGGGAGGACATAACCATCGATGGACAGACCATGGCACTAGAAGCAGAACACAGACATTTCGGTCCAATTCCAGACCACCACAAGTGTGTGCGTGCACACACACACACACACACACACACACACACACACACACACACACACATACGACAACTTTCCTTGCCCTGGAAATCTGCACAAGGGCTGGAACATGCCAGACTGTCGGTTATTTTTAGAGTGTTGTTCTCACTGCCCACAGGCTGTGTTTTCGATGGCACAATTCTAGGGAAACCAGCAGACATCTTTCAGATCAGTGCAGGAACAATGTCCTAGGGAGCTGCTGCGTCCTCCTCCCAAGAGGCTCTATGTTGCACTTGGCAACTGGGCCCGGGTGCCTGCCAGGCCCCCTTCGGTGCCATAATGAAGGGCGATGTTTGTGGCTCCCATTGGTGAAGCTATGCTCCTGCGCCTTTGCAGCCATCTATTTCCGAGACTTCTATAATAAGCACCAATCACAAAAGGCTGGAGCACATGCACATACACGCACACCCATGTATATAAATACCAATGGGGCGCAACACAAAATGCTGCTTTTTCATAATAAAAGCATCTTGGTATTGGGCCAACAGAAGTCTGGTTGGAAGTGTATGGTGCCCCAGGAAGACAGAGGAGATTTTCGAGGAATAGATGGGCCTCCTCTAACTGGCCATCTTTTACCCTCCAGTTGGCAACAGCTGCCCTACCCTCATGCTGGCCCGAGGGCTCCCCACAAAAATCTAGAAGGGTGAACATTGGGCCTCTGCAGGCTCTGCCCTCCTAGCCAGCTCGGCAGCTGTCTTGAGCACGGCCTCGGTCGACAGAGCATAGCCACTGAAGCTCTGTGACTGGCCCTGGGCACCTGCTGCAGAAAGACGACAATGGGCTGTGACTTCACAAAGGAGCTGGAGTATGTTCTCATTTGGGGCTTTTGCAGTTCGCTCCTCTCCTACTGTGAAACGAGCTAAAAAGGCACGGTTCAGAGAAAAAAGAAATTTGTCTTGCTTTGCAAAGCTTTTAAATGAGGCATGCTGTCCCTCCATGGGGGAGGCAGGACACGCTCCGTTGAGGCCTTGGGAGCATAAATGTGGGAGAAGACGGATTGTAGGGTGTAGGGGACAAAGTGGCTACCCCCACTTCAGCGGCAGGTGTTTAAGACAGGCAGGCCCTCCTGCATTCAGGGGTGTGTGTGTGGCACAGTGTGGTCTGGGATGTGTCACTTCGTGTCGGTTTCACACTACAAACTGATGAGATTTTCACAGCCCTATCTCACTGTCGCAGGAGCAGTGGGCAGTTGGCTGAGGGGTGGGGGCTCTGGGAGCTCTCCTGTCCAGCCATGGAAACAGGGGTAGCCCAGAGCAGGAAGGAGAGTGCGCCTTGAGGGCACATAGCTCCTGGGGTGAGGCTACAATCTTTTCTCAGTACCCCCAAGGCCTAGCAGGAAGCAGGGGCTCCATCACATTGTTGAGTGATATGGGTGCCACATGCCACGTTTCAGCCTCAAGCCACATCCAGAGGTAATGCTGCAGGCCCTCTGGGGCACCGATGTTTGTTCAAAGTCTTCCCTGTCCTGTCTGGTTTTTTGTTTTTTTGGTCTATCTTTAGTTTTCTAGGATCCTAAACTATGTCAAAGTTGGTTGTACACAAGCAGGGCTGCTATTTTGTCATGCCTTGCAGGGACATTTGACAATGCTGAAGCTACTTTTGGGACCATGTCCGGGAGAGGAGATGCCACTGGCAATCAGCAGGTAGACACTGCTTCCTATAAGACAGTGCACAAGACGGGACCATAGTACAGTTACCTAGTGTTAGATGCTAATGTGCCAAGGACAGAGACCTTGCTCCAGGCTGAGTCATTCAAGGTTGGGGCTGCATGTTCTGGAGCCCTCAGCTTCTGGCTACCTGGCACCATCACTGGGCTTCCTGAAGGCAGGCAGAGTCTGTCTCCTCAGCACACGCCTCACCTTCTGAAGGATGTTCCACACTCTCTGGTAGAATCCTACGGGGACCCTGTTGATGGCCCCGTCCAGCCTTCTCCTGCGCAGCCACTGGCCCTGCTGCTCCCCCCATCCCATGTGGTGTCCTCCGGAGTCTGTAGATGATGTGCCCGTTGGGGAGGATGGGGTACTGGACCTCTGCAAGACAGATACCATTTGGCCTTCAGAAGCAGGTGCCCACAGGGAAAAACTGGCCACCTTGAAGGCCAGCTCAGCAAACTAGTCAAAATCTTCCTCCACATGTCACCCAGCCAGGGGCACAGGGCTCCTGAACTCTAATTTGTTGGCTACTTGATGTTGGATTTAGGTTTTCATGCTCTGTTTTGTTAGCTTAGTTCTTCCCAGGCTCTAAGACGTAGGATAATGCTGGGGGGCCCTGAGCTCACAGGACAGAGGCCAAAGAGATCCAGCTGTGGGCTCTGCCATCAGGCTGCCACAGCCAAGCTCAAGAGCATGTGACAGCACCTGGGCTGAGGCTGCCTGTGCTCTATGCTAGCATCACTAGTCCATCTACACAACGGGGACATAATCTCCCGGAGGGAGCTGTCTGCTGCCACTCACTTGGTGAAGACATAAACCCCCCCGAGAGTCCCTGTTGCTCAGGGGGAAGCTGTCACCCAGAAGGCCACTCCCTCAGAGGTCACTGGCCAGGCATGCAAAGCCTATTTAAGGGAAGCAAGCCACAAGAGTACTTGGAGAGGTGGTCTCAGAGAAGATGAGCTGGACAGGAAGGAGAAACGACCTGGGGTAGGGGCAAACGCCCACGGGCCTGATTTCCTTCATCAGCGCCACGGAGAAGTGACCATCACCTCCCCACGGGACGAAGAGCACAGAGAATGGCATACATACACAGGGAGAAGGGACCAGGAGTGAAGACAGAAAGTCAACTAGGAACCCTTGCTTAGCAGTGGGGCTCCTTGGATTTGGGGGCTCTACCTCTGCCTTTCAATCCTCATTTCTACTGTCCTGCTCTTGGTCCTGAGTTTTCTTTGACGGTGGCCTTCAGCTTAGACCTGCTGACCAGGGTTAGAGGGTGACATCTTTCCATCTCCTTGTGAGAGGCTAGGCTTCTCTGACTCCACAAGGGAAGTGCTGGAGGGCTGCTGACCACTGGGGGCAGGATGGACAGACTTCCACCTGGTGGCGATCAGGTGTGGAAGCTCCCACCGACCTGCCCTTGGAGGGATTCTTCAGGTTGGGATGAGGCTAACACACATCTTCACATGCATTTTTGTTTGGACTGTTTGGCACTTCTGTTTCTCAACTTGCAACCTCAAATTTAAAGGTTTAAAAATAAAATCCAAATATTAAGCACACTAGCAGGGCAGGAGGTGGGATTCTTCTCTCAGAACTCGTGTTGACTTCAACAGATCTTATTTTGAAAAGGCAGTTAGTAAGGCTGGGTTATTCTGCTGGGCTCCTTATTGCCATTTAAATAAGGCAACAATTAGCTACAAATAAAAGTAATTACAGCCACACTCATCAATGACTCAGCTGATTTTCTCCTTCTGGTTTTGGGAGGCAGCTTCAGACTCGCCTCTGCAATTAGAACATTTCCTGGGCCTCCACTGGAGCGAGGGCCACATGCTCAGCTGGGGCAGGAGAGTAGAAAGTGCTAACTCGCCTGGGGGCCGCAGCTCAACACTCAACAAAAACGCAGGAGGGCTGGGATGTGGGTCAGTGGTGGAGTGCCTGCCTAGCATTCTCAGATCCCAGTTCATCCTCAACACTGCAAAACAAACAAGTAACAGCCTTAGAAGCAGTGTTCTGAAGACTCTAGAAACTCCGGGGAGTTGGTAAGGTAAGCACACCTCACCCACACTCTATTGAGGAGTTTTACAAGCTAAGATCTGACAGCATGAGATGGAAAACCAAGTTCAAGAATATATATAAACTTTTCTAGAATTTTCTCAAACTTATAGTTGAAGGTACCCTCAGCATCACCTGAAAACCTTTAACCCAGTGGTTCTCACCCTTCCTAATGCTGTGACCCTTTAATACAGTTCCTCATGTTGTGGTGACCCCCAACCATAACATTATTTTCATTGCTCTTGTTAGGAATCATAAAGTAAATATTTGATAAGCAGGTATGGTATCTGATATGCTACCCCTGTGAAAGGATCGTTTGACCTCCCCCAAAGGATTCGTGACATACAGGTTGAGAATCACTGCCTTAACCTTTACTCAACCTTCAGAAGTCAGGGATGAAGGCTGTAGCAAAGCTTAGTGCTGGAATGTTTGCTTAGAATGTGTGAGGGCCTCAGTTCCATGTCCAAAACTGCATGTGAACTTACACACGCGTGCATGTGCACACGTACACACACACACACACACACACACACACACACACACACACACACACACACACAACCTAAACATAAGTGGGGACGAGGTGGGAGCATGGGTAAGGCCACAAGAGAACTTGGACAGTACAGACATGGAGAAGACTGGGAGGGGTGCGATGCCAATACAGATTTACCGCAGACTTGAAGGAATGCAAACTGTTGGACACAGCCTGGCCCACAGGAAAGAACTACAAAACAAAAAGAACAGACTCAGTCACGTGCAGCGACACCAAGACACAGCAGCACGAAAAGCACAGAGACTGAAGGCAGAGACAAAGCCTAGAGAGGGTCTCACTGAGCACCGGCGACAGAGGCACACCCACTGCTCCCCTGCAGCCCAGCTTGGCTTGAAATAGCAAGTGTGCCCAGGTCCTTCTCCTTTGTGGGGCAGGCCTAACCAAACTAGGACACATGTTCCAAAGTCATGGCCATGCCACGCTAATGTTTTCTGTTGCACTGTGAACATCCAGAGAGGTCAAAACACCCCTAACTGCCGCCAACGCCTGGCATCCAACAGGTACCCCACAGATTATTGTTAAATGTCAATGGGGAGCAGGCTGATGACCTTTGATCATTTACATCTTTCCTCATCTAAGAATCGAGATGGCACCCTTAATTTGCATACTGCTCTGTGTCTGTGGTATGCTTGCAAAAATGAGTCGACCCAACACCATGACACCTTTTAAATTTTTACCAGAGAACATTTTCTTGACACGAGTGGCCAAATACAAAACTGGGACTGGCTGACTGAATATGAACACAACCGAGAAGGAAGGTAATTACTTCACCCCCATCACAGGCAAGGGCAGCACTATATGGAAGAAGCCATCCATATTCACCCACCAGGCTTTTGAGCTGTGGGTAACCAGAGGGACGGTGCCACCGAGTGGCTGACGAAGGAAGATGTTTGGAAAATCACTTCCACAGAAGGAGCATAAATGAGAGACTCTGTAGGGTCTATGCTCTGAGAAAACCTGCAATCAGCATTATGTGCCATCATACATTTACTTTCTCTGGTCATAGAGACATGGAATCATTAGGAATAAGAATCCAAAGACAGATGTGGCAGTGTGCATCTGTAGTCCCACCTACTCAAGAAGCTGAGGCAGGAGGATCCCTTGAGCCCGGGAGTTTGGGGACAGCCAGGGCTACATGGAGATCCTCATCTCAAAAATAAATCTATAAATAAAAATGTCCAATTTTTTTCTAAAGGGAAGGAGTATATCACAGGATGATGTACACAGGGTCCTGACATTTTTTCCTTCCAGGGTTAAATCCTCCCAGGTTGGATGAAGGCAGTAGCATTGACATAATCTTTCTAGTGATGAGATTACTGACCATATTCCCCTCTTTTAGAATAGAAATGTTGGTGGAGGCAGAGCCTGGCCCATCTCTTTCACAAAGAATCTTTACAAAGGCTGAGCTTGAGAAATGGAATTCTTTTGATCAGTACCACGCTCTAACAAAACGAGCCACCCATTTAGATGGCTCGGACTGGCCACCCTAAATGGATTTTTTAAAGGCACAGGGCAAAGTCATCTTTCCTGCCTTCTCATCCTGCTCTCTGTCTCTGGGGCTGGCCTGCCTGAGCTACTGGGCCATTCCAGCACGCACCCACATCCACACTCTGTACTGGCAGCTTCATCTTCCTTGTTCAAGCCAGAAAGAGCGCGCAGCTAACCCTGAGGACAAACCAAACAAGGCACTTCACCTGCTCATCAGCACTAGCCCACCTAATGATCTGAAAGTACAAACACCAGAAAGTGAAAGCCTGTTTCCAGTTTAAAACGCCCCACTGCTTCCATTACCCTCTCTGCTAAGCCAGGGCACGCTGGTCCAGCCTCAGGGGCTGGTCTTTATTACCTCATAGACCCAAGCCAGTGAGGCAATGTGACTAGTTTATGACCAGATTTTCTCGGGGGTGGGGTGGGGGTCATGTTCATGTCCTAGCACAGTATCAGGCACATGAGGGAGGACTGAAAAGGTTTGAGCTGTGAGGGTCAGCTCATAAGGATTTCTATTGTGAGTTAGATTAAGTTGAACAAAGAAAACAGGTAACTGTGGATGATGGTAAATACAGGTATCATGGTTATTCCAGTCTATTTCCACATCCTCCTGGCTATTTCAGATGAAGGACACATCTGATAGAGAAATGGTTGTCTCTTTTGACATGATTCCACTTTTAAAAATTTATTTTTATTTTGTTGTCTGAGTATTTGCCTACATGCATTATTTGTGTACCACTTATGTGCCAGGTGCCCGCTGAGGCCAGAGGAGGGCATCAGATCCCTTAGAAATGGAGTCATAGACAGCTAGCTAAAAACTGTCATGTTGATGCTGGGAACTGAATTCAGCCCTCTCCAAGAGCAGCCAGTACTCTTAACATTTGATCCATCTATCCATCCCCATGACTCTACAGAAACAAACATGGACAAGGGATTATTCTAGTACATACATGTAATAACACATGAAGGCTAGACATTGGTGGTCGTGAGTGCATGTAAATGGCTTCGGGGTACCTACCTGGGATACAGGGCTTTGTTCAGATCCCACGACTTCTACAGAGAGCAGGCCAAAGCTTCATGCCCTTGTCTTTCTGAAGCTTTCTGAGGTGAGCCCTGGCAGAAGAACCATTTATACCCCTCCCTTATGGCTGCCATGCTAAGGCCTTCTTACCTGTTTCATCTCACTCCTCAGTCTGGTGATGCCACTCCTCTCAGTTTTGGTGACTCCAGTATGACCCACCTCATGGATGGAGATGGCAGGGCTGGATGTGGAGGAGTGAATTGGGCGCACTGGCAGGGAAACACATACATGAGGTTTTAGGAAATCTATTGCACCTGCCTTGAGAGAGGCAACATGGATAACATGCTTCTGAGGTCCGTATCTCTTCCCTACTGGATTTGAGAGGAAGGCCTTACCTGTCCCAGCCAGGCTAGGGCTTGTAGTGCTGAGGGTAGCACAGGCTTACCACATGAGGCCGGAAGGGCTGGGTGAAAGTGTGGTGTCTTAGATAGGGTTTCTACTGCTGTGAAGAGACACCATGACCATGGCAACTTATAAAGGAAAACATTTAATTGGGGTAGCAGCTTACAGTTCAGAGGTTCAGTCCATTGTCATCATGGCGGGGAACACGGTAGTGTACAGGCAGACATGGTGCTGGCTATATCTTGATCCGAAGGCAACAGGAAGTGGTTGTGACACTGAGTGAAGCTTAAGTAAGAGACCTCAAAGCCTGCCCCCATAGTGATACACTTCCTTCAACAAGGCCTCACCTACTTTAACAAGACCACACCTACTTCAATAAGGCCACACCTCTCAATGGTGCCACTCCCTATGAGCTTATGGGGACCAATTACATTCAAACTACCACATGTGGGTACTGCTTTAGCAGCACAGAACAGAGTGGCAGAAAACTGTTGACTGACTGAATTGGTTTTGGAAACTATTTTTTTACTTATCCAAAACGTATTTTCTTTGTGGAAAACTGAGCCCACCTAAGGGAGACAGAAGTACTATCTGTTGACATTTCACTCATTATCCTGCTAGTTTTCCCCTATGGATACATGTTTTTACCTTATACAACATCACATACATGTACAAAGATGAGCTTTATATTCTACACATGACATATCCATACATACTATGTAAACCAGTTTGGTTGTTTCTGCACTTAATATTTTAATGAGTGTTTTTCCACAGCTTTACATTCGCTCACATGTCTAATGACTGCATGACATCTGATCTCAGAATGAGTAACACACCCAATTCTACTGGTGATTTTCGGAAGGGTTCATCTTGACTAATGTGTACAATCCCTACTGACCTTGCCAAGCTCTGTAATGCCAGCTGTCCCTGGTAAAGGGACAAAAGTGCTGCATACTCAATTCAAGGGCTAGAACTTCGGTGCCTGTGGCTGTGGACCAGCTGCTGAGGGAGCTTCATCAGGCCTTGTCTGGGCTTGGGTGCAGGTGCACAGGTGTAGCATCCAGGACTGACAGAACTCAGGGCAGGGAGAAGATCTCAATTTAGGCCTTTGGGAGGAAGCAGGGGTTGAGCTGGCTAGAGAGCTCAGGGGTGAGGTTGGCAGTTGCCAAAGCCAGACACGTGGTGTTGCTATGGAACAGGGGCAAGGAGGCTCTTCCCACTGCACCAGGCCACACCTCTTTCCATCATATACCATCAGCTTCAGGACAAATCCCTTACGATTATTCTAAAAGGCAAATGCGATCAGTCCTCCTGAATCTAAATCTGTCTTCAGGATAAAGCCTAAACAATCTTTTTGGTGCCACAGGAAACCCTGCTCCTTTTGTAGGCCCAACGCCAAGGTCAGTTTCTATAGAACCTTGCTGAAGCCAGGAAGCTGGAGGGCAGCTGAAGGGAGGAAGCCCCCAAGGAGACCCAACGATGGGTCAAGAGGGAGGAGTGGCGTCCAAGAAATGGAAAACAGAAGCCAAACGGGGTGTGGAAAGTTCCACTGGACTTGAGGGAGTGTTTGTTGGAAATAGTAATTTTAGGATTTAGTCAGAATTTTAGCTTCCTAGTTTATAAAAACCGAACAGTTATGTGGTAGTTTGGATGTAACTGGCCCCCATGAGCTCTCAGGGAGTGGCACTATTAGGAAGTGTGGCTTTGTTGGAGTGGGTATGGCCTTGTTAGGGGAAGTGTGTCACTGTTGGGGCAGGCTTTGAGATTTCCTATGCTTAAGCTTTGCTCAGTGTCTGAGTCCACTTCCTGTTGCCTTCTGATCAAGATGTAGCCGGCACCATGTCTGCCTGCATGCCACCATGCTCCCCGCCATGATTATAATGGACTGAACCTCTGAACTGTAAGCCACCTCAATTAAATGTTTTCCTTTGTAAGAATTGTTGTGGTCATGGTGTCTCCTCACAGCAATAGAAACCCTAAGACAAGTTCCAAGACAATGAAGAAATGCTATGTTTGAAAAGATACTATGTCTTTTGTCCTTACTCATGATGAGACATGTCATGGCATTCAAATGACATTCCTCAGTTCTTGGCTTTGTAAGCATCTATATAGCTTTACATTTAATGACAATTACCTGTCAAGCCATGCACACTATTATGATGAGCAGAACATATTAAATATTTATCTTTTCCATTTACATTTCAAGGATTGTGTAGTTGAAATAACTGTAAATTACTTTTGGGTATGGATCTCAAGCACTTCTCCTCAGAAAGGAGAAAACCGAAAATAGACAGCTGATTGCCCCATGCGGTGGCTTTGTCTGAGGCTGGCACACACTCAGGAAAAATACAAAGTACCCAGTGTCCTTCTTATTAACTAAAAGGAATGATAGCCCACAGTGTGTTTCTTTGGCTTGATGAAATAAATTCACCGATGTGTCTGCGAATCATTTAGCTTTTTTATGAGGAGGAGAAATGATAATTGCTTCAATTATAATTAGGGAACATTTGGGAACAAGAAGCACACCAGGACTTGGGTGATTAGATTTCTTAGCACTGCAAGCAGATTTCCAAGATGGATAAAAACTAAATGAGTAATGCTGGGATGAAGCGAAGGAACTGGCCCCCACAGGCCATAGAGCATTTCTTCCTACTCTCTGGAAGGTGACATTGGGCCTGGCTACAAATGCTTTGAGGCAAACCAAAGGCCAGGCCACAAGGGGCTTTGTAAGGGCAGACCTGTGATCCTGACCCTTAGGGTCACCTCCCCTCATGACACTTAGGAGATGCAAGGTACGAAGGTGTACAGTTCACTTAACCCACCTACCACTATAACCTACCAAGAAATGCAACCCTTTGAGGGTGCTCCCTGTCCCTAAAAGCAGGAACCTAGAGCCCATGCTCCAGTTCCTCCTACTGGTAGAGAACGTGCACAATCCCTTCCTCATAGGGGACCCATTGATGCTCGCGCTGGTCTGCACTTGGGTTCCCTATGAAGTCCTCACCGCTTCTTTCCACACCGAACTCCTTCCCACTCAGAATATGATGCAGGAGGTTCTTCATGTCGAAGGGGCTGAGGTTCATCAAACTCTCTGAAGCTTCTTCTCCTACAAGCAAACATCTTATAAGAGGCCTAGTCATGGGCTGGTGGGTGGTTCGGGGTGGGAGAGGATGATATAGAAGGCATTGGCAGGTTTCCTTGCTCAGGACTCTTTCACTGGTGCTGCAGGCCTGAAAGGCACTGGTCCTTGGGAAATGCAAACACCTCTGTTTAGGACAGCACAGATGCATTTAATTCCCAGACATAGAATTTTTCGCATTGCACTGATCCCTGATGTTGGAATGTGTTTTGCAAATGATGTTGACATTTCTTTCTCTCACTGAAGATGTTATTAAGTGGAGGGTGACATCTTACAGTGAGGCTATCACTGTAGCTTAGCTGTCAGGTACAGCCAAGGTTCTCCTGAAAACATGGCAGCTGCTGTGCCCACCCCAGTGAGGTACATTGTCGTGCTATGTGGCCTAACAGCAAGTAGCTCTCACAAAGGAACCTGGGAGAGCCTAAGCTCACCCTGATGGAAGCCTGTTCAGAAGTGCTTGAGTGTGGCTCCCTGCACAGCAAGGCCCTGAGGTAAGGCTGAGTTGTCAAGGGTGGCAAGCCATGGCCACTTACCTGAGCAGTTCAGGCTCCGAGCCAACTCTGTGGCCATCACCTGGATGATCAATCCAATCCGGAGTCTGAGCATCTCTGCAAAGAGGCTAGGCTGGGCCCGAACATACATGGCCAGGTACACCACGATCTCCTGGTGCAGATAGGAATAGGGCTTCAGGGAACCTGAGAGGCCTACTGGCACTCTATGAGGAAGGCTGTGGCCCAGCTGGCCCTTCCTATATCAGCATCTGACCTGTGTGAGGACGGCAATGCTGATGTCCTGGCCACTGGCCTCATAGATGAGTTTTGTGAGCTCCTCTGGGGGAAGAGGCCTAGGAAAGAGCAGCAGGTCACACACAATGGGTGCCTCAGAGCAGGGCCCCCTTGCTCTCAGTATAAGTTCCAGCTTTCTATACTACAAGCACCCACATGACAGGGTATCTTCCAAAGCCACTGCCATCCCTCCCCAATAATGCAATGCTCTCTCGGTGCTCCTTTGCAGACTGGAGGTCCCCCAGCAGGGACTTACGTGGAGATGGTCTTCTCCCGGGGCTCAGGGGGCAGGCCCACTGTAAGCTGCTTCTGGTGGGACAGCAGATCTGCACAAGCCTGCATGTATTTTTGGTGGGGGGGGGGAAGGTGTACAAAGGAACATGAATTTAGCAAAACTAACTGAGAAGGTTAAGTGCCAACAGCACCAGAAATTTACCGTTATGGACTTCATAATCCACATTGCCCTTCTGAGAAACTAAAACCTCAAACCCAGGCTTAGCAACCCACATAGGCTGGATCCCTGCAATCTTTGTGTCTCCCAGGTGTGGTCCCAGACCTGGTCTACCCACTAGAGTAAACACTCCAGACTTCTTGCTATTCCGACAAGGTAGGTCGAGGCTTCAGATAACAAAGATTTGAGTTACTAGCCACACTGTGTTCCTAGCTTAGGAGCCCCTCAGTAGTCACATGTAACAATGACTGGCATCTTACCAGAATACTTGCTTAAAGCCACAGGAAGTGGTTCTGGATTTTGTAGGGCCTCAGGGATATAAACATTCATGATCACTGTACTGTGACATGTGGAAATAAGTACTCTGTTTCATGCGATTGCTTGGTAAGGCTTTCTGTGGTTAAGAGAGAACCAAACTAATCAACTTGAAAATTTCTTCTTCTCTCCTCTCCTTCCAGAGCAGTGAAAAGTCAGTGGAGGGCCTGGCCAGTGCTGGGTCGATTCCCTGAGTCCCTTTATTGACAAGAGGCACATGCCTTGAGCTTCCACAACTAGGAGACTGGAAGAAGAAGGCATAGGGCTAGAGAGAAGAAACAGACACCCGGCAGGCATGCTTATTCTGACCTCAGCCAGGACCTCCACTTTCTTCCTGAGCAGGCCTGAAATGTAGCGGATCAAACCCCATTCTTGATTCAGGCCAGCTTTTCCATAGAGCTCGCTGAGAAGACTGTGAACAGTGACTCCATGCTGTCCAAACAGATTGGTATCCCAGCTGGGCCCCCTGGAAGGAGGCAGGAAAACAGAAAGACCAAGGTCAGAGTGTCAAGGCTGGGTGAGGACGCATGGATTGCTGTACACTTTGCCAAGTATCTGGACATTTCTAGCAACTCTGGGTCTCACCAAGAGGCTTCAGTCCAAGCAAACATTTCTATACCATGTCTTCTGAAACAAAAGCTTAGTGTTCACACACCACTATGGTATCCTGGCCTCACCCAGACTTCTGGAAGGCCAGCATCAAGAGGCAGAGAAAAGGACAGAAGTCTCATGTGTGGTGATCCTGGGTAATTTGGGTAAACGTGATCATGGCCTGGCATTGTTGGAATGCCAACAGACCAGGAAAATGAAGTATGGAGAACTAAGTTCAACATGGTGAAGCCCGTAAACTTACTGCTCTGTCCTGAATACTTGTGTTCCCCTCAAACCCCTATACTAAAATCCTAACCCCAGAGTTATGGTATTGGGATGCAGAGCTTTTGGAAAGTAACTAGGCCATGGAGTAAGATCCCTCATAATCCATCAGATTATGAGAGGCCCCAGAGAGCTTGTTGTGCCTCCCTTCCACCATGTGAGGATAGGGTGAAAAGGCACCGTCCATGAGGAAGTAGGCTGTCACCAGACACTTTATCTTGGACTTCTGGCTTCTAGAACTGTGAGATACACTTCTGTTCTTTAGGATGGCAGCTGATAGTGTGTTGCTATAGCAGCCCAAAGAGCTGAAGGCACTTACTTTATTACATAAAGAATGTACAGAATGTCCGCTTGGTCCTGTAGGTCTGAGCAGTCTTTCAGTTGCCCAACCAGCTTTTCACAGTCCATTTCACCATGGTCGTCTCTGGGCCACTGGCAGTCATATTCAGGAGTCTGGCCACATGAAAGTCAAAAGTAGGGAAAGGAGTTGAGAATGGGAACTTTTAGATGACCATGAAGGGAAACACCAACTTGGCGTTTGAATAGTAGCACTATGCTAGGTTTCATTTTTTTCAGGAAATCTTCTGTACTATGTTATTTACGGGCATTTACTATCTTCAATAATGATCTATGTCAGTCAACATTTGCAAGGAACTAGACTGAACAGGTTAAAACATATATAAGTTTTATTTATGCAAAGTTCAAAACTAGACAAAACCAACGCCTACTGTTACAGATCATGACAGCCGTGCCTCTCCCCACCATGTACTAGGAATGGAACCCAGGACCTTGCATGACAAATAGTCTACCACTGAGTCACAGCACCAGGCCCCAGCAGTGATCTTTGGACTATGGGATGGGGGTAACTAGGAGGAGGCACAGAAAGTGGCCAATGACAACGCATATGGACTCAGTGGCAATTCACTGCATTCTACTCGTGAATGCACTTTTCTGTCTGTATGTTATACTTTAATAAAATGTTTGTTTTCTTCAATAAGGTCTCATCATGCAGCCCAGGCTTCCCTAGAACCTTCTATGCAACTCAAAAAGACTGAAAAATTGCAGTCTTCTGCCTCTGCCTTCATGGTGTTGGAATTACAATCACATGCTATCACACCCAGCTTTCAATGAAATATTTTTAGAATGTAAAACAACATAAAGTGCATGTTTAAAACTACCTTAAAAATGAAGTTAGATTAAAATATTCTCCAATAGGCAGAATTGGATATTTTGATTCATATGGGTAAAATCAGGAAAGCTGTCTGAATAAAATAGTAAAAAGGACCAACACCGTGAGATTTCATGTTTGTGCGGAATCTCATTACATTAAGAGTATGAAGAAACCAGAAGTGGTGGTGCATGTTTATAATAAGTCCTTGGCAGGCCAATGCAGGAGGAGGGGGAATTCAAGGCCAGCCTGGGTCCAAACCTGAAACTCTGTCTTAAGAAAGCAAACCTAAGGGTCTGAGTAATACAGCACTAAAGTCCCATACTCTGTTCTGAGCTCTAGCTGGCTCAGATGAGGAAAGGAAGGCAGTTGAGTGTATTTCTTCTCTTACTGCCTGTGTTCTGCTAAGCAGGCAGAGAGGCAGTAAGACACCTCTTCCTCCAGGCAAAACACACAGGTATGCACCAAACTCAGAGCATGCAATGATGCCAACTGCATTCCAGACAACTAAGTGTCTGGATTCACATCAACATATACAACGTCTCAACTGTGAAACTTTGGATATAAAGAAATATGCTCTTTAAGTGCCACCATTTGAGACAGTTCTTGGGATTAAGCCAGTATTATCAAGTCTTACATTAAAACAAAACAATTCAAAATACTTTACCTTCTTTAGGAGTGGCTGAGGGGAGTCAACAAGATTCAGTGACTTCCGGTGTCCACTCAGAACTTTAGTTGGCAAAACCATTGGAAAAACTGGAAAAGAAAATAATGAAGAAGGCTCTTGTGAGGAAGAACATTGACAAAGCCCTTTTGGTAGGTACAGGGCATTTCAGGACTGCAAACAGATATAAAAGAGGTGATGCTTGACTCCACTCCTCTCTCTCTCTTTTTAAAGGCTTCTGTCACCATATCTAGCTTTCATTTCATTTCATTTATTTATTTATTCATTCATTCATTTTTTATGTATGAGTGCTCTATCTGCATGTACAAATTTATGCCAGAAGAGGGTGTCAGATCTAATTACAGATGGTTGTGAGACATCATGTGGTTGTTGGGAATTGAACTCAGGACCTACGACTTTATGCCAGAAGCGGGCATCAGATCTCATTATAGATGGTTGTGAGCCACCATGTGGTTGTTGGGAATTGAACTCAGGACCTCTGGAAGAGCAGCCAGTGCTCTTAACCTCTGAGCCATCTCTCCAGCCCCTCACTCATCTCTTTTATTTTCCAGATGAGGAAACTAGGACCTAGAGAAGGTGGAACATTTGCTCAAGGTCACAGGGTTTTATGATTGAGGTGTCTGGGTTTCCTGCTCAGGTTCACTCTAGCATTGCTGGCTGTTCTCAATTTTACTTTTTATCATCTCTGGATGCTTTTATTATTTGTAGTCATTCAGTAAAATGTCTCTGTTTTCCAGGCTATATCACAACTCAGAAAATTAACAAGTAGCTCATGTCTATTTTATGTGTGCACACACACATGGGGAAGCCAGGGCTTTGTGTTAAGTCTGGTGATAGTTTATTTGTGCTGAAATGTGGTGATATTTTATTTGTGCTTTAATAAATAAAGATTGCCTGGAGATCAGAGGGAACATCAAGCCATTTTAAGTAAACAAAGAAGTTAGGCAGTGGTAGCACACGCCCTTAATCCTATCACTCAGCAGGCAGGATCTCTGTGTGTTCAAGGCCACACTAGGGAACAGAGCCAAGGGTGGTGACACACGCCTTTAATTCCAGTATCAACCGTAGAGGCCTGTAGGTCTGTACAGACAGATAGAAAGTGACAGAGCTGTACAGGAAGAGGAAGTGATGTGGCTGGGCTAAGAGAGCCAATGAGAGAACAGAACACAAAAGGCATATAAATGTGAGTAGACAGGATGTAACTCACATTTGGAAGCTGCAGAGTTGGTGAGGTGTTGCAAGAGTTTTCCTGGTCTTGCCTGGCCCATGGTCAGGACAATTCTCTCTCACCCACCAGTCCCGCAGCTGCTCAGACCCAACCAAGTAAACACACAGAGACTTATATTACTTATAAACTGTATGGCCATGGCAGGCTTCTTGCTAACTGTTCTCATATCTTAAATTAACCCATTTCTATTTATCTATAAGTTGCCACGTGGCTCATGGCTTACCAGTATCTTAACATCTGCTTCTCATCATGGCAGCTGGCAGTGTCTCTCTACCTCAGCCTTCCACTTCCCAGAATTCTCCTCTCTCCTTGTCCCGCCTATACTTCCTGCCTGGCTACTGGCCAATCAGCACTTTATTTATCAATCATCCACAGCAGTGAGGTAAGTTTGGCTGGTGGCTTTCCCTATTTCCCTGATCTCTCTAAGGCTTTCACCCCTATACTGGCTGTGTTTTTTATTTAATAAGACCATTTAGAAATTTGTCTACAGTTAAGTGTCTTCCTCAATTTCTTTCCACATTATTTTTTGAGATAGGGTCTCTTCACTGAACCTGTAGTTCACTCATTCAGCCCCAGCGATTTGCCACCCACCCCCCACTCCCCATTCCCACCACCACAGCTGAAGTGCTGGAGTTATAGATGCTCATTGCTATGCCTGGATTTTACATGGGTGCTGGGCACATGAACTCAGATCCTCGTGCTTGTTCAGCAAGCCCTTTAACCACTGAGCCATCTTTCTAGCTCCCTCACTAATGCATATTTAAAAGGGATTCATAAAGCAAGCTAAAGTGGTTCACATCTGTAATCCCAGCACTCTGCAGGAGGACTACAAGTTTAAAGTCAGCTTGGACTATATAGTTGAGTTCATGGCCAGCCTGTACGATACAACAAGACACTGTCACCAAAAAACCAAAACAACCATTAAACAAAATAAAAGCACCTAACTAAAACCAAACAAAAAGACAAATCTTCAAGAACAGGTTAAAAACAGGAAAGAAGATAATAGAAGCATTTTTCAGGAATAGGAAAGACAAAGGTTGAAAGATAAGTGATTTAGAAAACACAGGACCTGCATATATGCTAGGGTGGTGGTAGCTTGGTGTTCTTGTGAGACTCCTAACAGTGGCAGCGGGGGCTGTCTCTGACACTTTTCCCTGCTCTTGGGACCCTTTTCCTCCTACTGGGTTGCCTCATCCAGCCTTGATATGAGGATATGTGTGCCTAGTCCTACTGCAACTTGCTATGCCGTCTGTATTCAGTTGATATCCCTGGGAGGCCTGCCTTTTTCTGAAGGGAAATGGAGTGGATCTGGGGGAGAGGGGAGGTGGGAGGAGCTGGGAGGAGTGGAGGGAGGGGAAACTGGTTGGGATGTAATATATGAGAGAATAAATAAAAACTTTAAAAATAGGAAAAAGAAAACACAGGGCCAGCAAACTCCAAGAATACAATGGGGAATCAACGAACCAGTCAGATCTGCCTTAAGAGAATCCTCTGAAGTCTCAGGAATTTGCTGTCCTGCTTACTTCTGGAACTGGTGTGGAGCCCAAGGGAATAAAAACAAAGAAGACTGAAGAGACAGTGTGTGAGATGTAGTGAGCTCCCTAGATGTTTTCTCTCTTTCAGGAGGACAGAAGACTGCAGAGTGAATGAGGGAGGAAGCCTGGGCACAGACTGATTAATACATTTGAAGGCTGGTGTTCATTCCTTAGAGAGACAGATCAGGGATCCACAAGAACAGTTCTTTCCCCTTCCAGAAAGAGAACAGTAGAACGGGAGACAGTAGAGTACCTCTGAAGAATCAGCCTACATCTCACAGGCCCAAGGCCACAAGTTCCACCCTGTACTGCAGGAGGACCTCTAAAGTGAGAAGTGGAACCTTTACTAAAAGGAAAAGGTGCCCTGGAAATGGAAACCATTAGGGAGAACAAAGTGCAAACATGAAGATAAAAAGCCCTGTCTCTAATGTTTTTAGAATCATAACACATTATATTACATGTATGAAACAAGAACAGATGGAATTTGGGGAATGAAAATTAAAACAATAGCAAAAATGAAAAAAATCCATTAAGGGAAGGACAAAAAGTTGAGCTAATTGTACTCAGAACAGATCAGAAATATGGAAAACAGAACAGAAATGATAAAAATATCTCCAAGAAGTTAATAAATAAATATATGAAAAAAGAACAGGAATAATATGAGGAAGAAAATGACTCAAAGTTTTTAGAAAAACTTTACAGGATTGAAAATCATGAATTTTTTTATAGCTCTTATTTTATTTTATTTATTTTTTTTATATATATGAATTTTCAGATCAGAAGGCCCACTAAGTACCCAATACAATGGATGAAAACATTCCCAGGTCAAGACATACAATTAAAATTTCAGAACCGGTGACCAGAAGATCTTAAAACTTTTCAAAGCCAGCTAATATTTGAAAGATTAAAAATCAACATAGCCAGATCTCCCCTATCTTTCTCCAGGGTCTAGCCTGGTGAGCCTCTCCCTCATTCACCTACCTTTCTCACCCCACCAGACCTAGCTCAGGTCTCACATCCAGTGCTCCAGCCTAGCCTGGCCACCTCAGCCTGCACCACATTCGATCTCTAGGTTTCCACCAGGATGGACCTTGCCTACCTCCCAACCCAAAGGCCACTCCCATGCCATATCCAACCTTTCCACCGAGCTAGATCTACATCCATACTCCAAGGTTGGGCCAGGAAGTGCATCCTATATGCCAGGGCAGTATATTTTATCTATCTGACTTCATTCCACCCAAGCCATTTCCAACCTCTAGGCCCATCACAACCACACATCCTTTTTTTCTGTCCCAAGCTGTTCTATCCATATCAGACTTAGAACTAACAAAAGAACTCTCTCTCTCTCTCTCTCTCTCTCTCTCTCTCTCTCTCTCTCTCTCACACACACACACACACACACACACACACACACACACACACACACACACACACAGACACAGAGGGTCAAGCCAGTACCTTCTTTCTCAAGCTTACAAGTCCTATAGGAATTTTGGAGGAGAGTTACCTAGGTGCACCCCAGTACACAGAATTTAAAAGAACCATAAACTTCAATCAAGGAGTTTGAAGAAAACACAAAGAAACAGCTCAATGAAATGAAATAGAAAGAGCTTAAGAAGAATAAATGTCTGATTAAGGCCCAAGAAAACACAAACATAAAAGCTGGTGGAAATGGTGCCAACAATCCAGGACTTGAGAATGGAATTCAGAAAGAAGACGAAACACTGAGGGGGGCTCAAGCTGAAATGAAGATGGAATTGGAGACGCCAATAATTTAACTAGAAAACTCAAAGGGAAGCCTTACAGGTAGAATGAACAAACAGAAGATAGAATATCAGGACTCAAAGACAAAGTAGAGCCTACAGACCAAATAAAAAGGAACATGAATTAAAAAAAAATTAACACACACAAAGGAAGGGAAAAATATGAATTAAAAAATTAACACACACAAAGTAAGGGGAAAATATAGGAAGTGTGGGATACCATGAAAAGACCAATCTTTGAATTATGGGCATAGCTGAGGGAGAAGAATCCAAAGTCAATGGCACAGATCAGATTTTCAAGAAGGTCACAGAAGAAAACTTCCCCAAAGGAAAGGCATACCCAAGCATGTATAAGAAGCACATAGAACACCAAATAGAAAAGACCAGAAAAGAAAATCACCATAGCATATCATAGAAAAAACACAAGTTACAATGTTGTGGGATAGTTTGATCATACTCTGACACTCCTGAGGCTATCAGTAAAGTTTACTTTGAATCAGAGATCAGAGCTAGCTACCAGCTGACCAAATTAGTCCTAGAAGTTT